TAAAATACTAGTATTTTTCATTTGTTTTGAAACCAAACTTATGAGGAAAAATAGTGAAAGATAGAAGTTTATAGTCCCAAATGCATAAATAGTTATTTTTCTTTGTTCTCTTTGCTACAGCTTGTGTTGCACTTCTAATGGGATATTGTTAACCTCAATGTAATTCAGTTGAGATCTGCAGATTTCAGTCAGTGTGGTTTTGGGTCATTCTTCCATCTGGCAGATGGTCACCTTATAGTAATAAGACAGAATGAGCAGTATCAGTCCGTTTAGGAGACAGAAAAAATTTAAATAACTCGCTGTGAATATGACACAAAGTGAAGGGACTGAAGATCTGTTTGTAGTATGCTGTCATGAAAAGTGTCTTAGAGTTTCTTTAAGTATACTGACATTAATCAGCTTTTCAGATTCTTTCAAAGTCTGTAATGTGAAATAGATGCACTGGATAAACCCCACATACAAAGTAACATGTAATGCCCCCATGAGCTCAAGCATCTGGAAGACTAACTGAAGAATATTTATTTTAAGAGTACATGAAAGATGGGTTCTTACCATTTTCAGAGTTGTTCAATGGATAATTGATAAAAATCTGATGACAATATGCTTGATTGAAAAAATGGTTAAAAAAATTATGTTACGAATTAGTTTTAGATTATAGAATAAATAGTCCAACCTCCATGAAATTAGAATCCAGTAATGCACTTTGGGAAGGAGGTGTTGTTCACAGCCATTCCACCAGAGGGAGCTGTTTACAACTGCTGGCACCTTGTAGTAGTTGTATTAACAAAGCATTTCATATTCCTATAACCCTACCTCCTCTTATTAGAATATATATTAATCACTGGCAATACATGATTTTTTTGTGAACTGAAAAATAAATAAAGCGTGTACACCTATATATGCACGCACACAAATATAAACTTTACATATAAGTGTGTCTGTGTATGCATGTTTTTTTTTTCCCCTTCCATTTTTTTTGTTCTTATGTCTTTACTCTGTTGCCCTCTCTGTTTCCTTAACTCCACACTGGATATTTTATTTACCATGGGAGCAAATTATATGTAAATAACTTTTAAAAGGATAAATGTAGTGTGAGGCATTCATGAAAATAAAAGGTTACATAGATTTTGTGTGTGTTGTGTGGAAACATTCATTATTACTCAGTCTTGGAAAAAGCATGATAAGCATGCCCATTTTCACACATACAATATGAGCCATTTTACAATACCTGTTAGTCAGAAATAAAAGTGCTGCAGACAGCAAAGAGCTCATAACGAATTTGAAATATTAAAAAAAACAAACGGGTAATTCTTGTGGTTTTCATGTTTCAGATTTATTTAACCTTCAGTTGTAGTTTTTTAAGTCTTTTTGGCTGAACAAAAGACAGAGAAAAGCAATCTTTTCATGTGGAACTCGTGGTAAAGGCTGCACAAATGTTAGAACTGGGTTAGTGTACGAGCTATTTGTCTATTTTTTTAGTTGTTAAATCTTTGAATTTAGTTTATTTGTTTATTCACTTGATTATTTATGGTTTATTTGTAATTATTTTCATTTTAGGTATTCAGAATAAATTTTTTTGGTTAGTCATTACTGTAATGACTGAATTATCTTCCTATTTGTTTGGGCTGTGGGAATTTCA